TAGCATCAACATCGGTAATTGGTGTTTTAATTGTCATTAATGTTAATAAAACCTGAGTTAAAAAAATTAAAAAAGATAGTGATTATAAAATATTTTATTAGGTACATAGATCAAACATAATAACATATGAAAACTATTCACACAATTTAAGAAATAATAAAGATTGAAATATATTCAACTAAAGCTTACCATAATTCCATTATTATTTCTTATACAATCCCAAATTTTTTCAATAATTACATCATCGTTTGTTTTATTAGGTCGCTTTTTAGCTGATCCATGTGCTGAATAGTATGCTATAATTCCTCCTTCCTATATTATTTTAAAAGATATTAGTTTCAGAAAAATAGCCTCTCTATTAGTTGACAATCTTTTTTTTTTTTTTTTTTTTTTTTGTCTGAAAACAACTTTCTTGCTGAGAGTTTAGATCTAATTATAAACTTTATGGGAACTTTCTTGTAGAATATTTGATCTGGTTGTATAATCTTGGTTACATCTGACTTATGTACTAAAATATTGCCATACCCATAAACAGTATCAGTATTCATTTTGTTTTGTTTTCGATTTCTGAGCGTGGTAAGGGATTTAATGTTTTTCAAAATATGAATAACCAAACTTCACTGAGAATGGTATTTCATTGACAATGATTAATCCTAAAATACTGAGCAAAGTTCAGTTATTTATGTTTAAAAGGCTGTAATATTTAAGACTTTCGTAAAAATTTTATATTTAAATTCTATATGTAAAAATAAAAATTACATTAAACCAAACTAATTTTTATTAACTAGTATGTATAACTTATAATATACTTCCTGTTAAATTGTCAAGCATTTTTGTAAAAATATTTATTATGAAAACTCCCTAGAAAAAATTATAAAATAACCACACTAAAGAACAACCCCAGGAAAATTCCATTTCAAAAAAAGTGATTTACTTGATACATAGAAGCAAGATTTCTAGTAGAATTTTTTTTACAGTATATTATATATAAATATAAAAAATAAACATCATTGTAAAACTAATATATTCCATGCTCTGCTCATAAACTAAAATAATGACTAAAGTATAAAATTTAAATACCAGAATTTTATACAAATCCCTTACTTACAAAAGCCATTATAAACGGAAAACTAACAAACTGATAGGATCTATATAGTATATATTGATTATAATATAGGAGTTGTTCAATATTGGAACCTAAGAATAATTATTACTTAGTATATAAGTTATATTTAAAAATAGAACACATTGAAAAATTGTTAATGAAGAAATTTGATTTTCTAGAGTGCCATAAATAAACAATTTAAAATGTTATGCTCATATTAAGTTCTGTCCTCACTAAAGCAATATACTTGACTTGTTTTGTGTTACAGCGGAATGCTTAATATTTGTACGTTTAATTTTTCAAATAGTGACATGTTCTAACTAAAAAAATGCCAGTAATTTACTCTAGTGTGGACTGGTAAAAGATCATCAAAATTAAGTCTAGATCAATGGTCTTGAGTTTTGAAAAAGACCCTTTATGATTTTTGAAAATTACTTGACAGATCTTTTCAGTAAATTAATTTGATTTGGCTGAAATACTGACCTAAAGTAAAGGATCCCCGGTGAATGTAATTTATTTTTATTAAATAAACCCATGTTGGTACCTATCTATTTGTCAAACTGGTAATTCAATAAAATGAACAATAATAAGATAAGAAAAATGATATTGTATGAATTTATTTTATTTACTCTTTAACACTTATATGCAAGGTAAATAATCTACCGGGTTATTTTTGTTGGGAAATATTGTCGAAGGTTATTTTTAGATATAAAATTACCCTATTTGGATATTATGGATGAAACTAATAGAAAAAGAAATAATTTTATTTAGATGCACACGGAAATGAAAACTAGGATATTCAACTGATGATTGTTTTGTCATGCGAATTATTTATATTTTAGTACTTAATCACTTAATTATGTTAACAGTGCTATATAAAATGAAATAAAGATGAATAATTATTATTGGAAATTTCACACTCCACACAGTAACTATAACAAAATAAGGCACGCGAATACTTACTGGTTATAAGTGTAAGAATAATGTATAATTTAGTTTTAGCATGGGTGGCACATAATTTGTTAAAGACCCTCTGAACTAGACAAATTATATTTTTTATGGCATAACATTGAGATATGGGAATTATTTGTATTCATAATTCAACTCTCAAATAAACATTTACTGGTTGTAACTACATTAATAATTAATTTCATTGTAACGAAAATAAAAATACACACCCTATGTATTGGAGCACAAACGCAGGTTATAATGGCACAAAGTGCTGCTTTTTGTATATCAGCATCCAAAAGATCTCCATCAGCGGCTTTTAATATAATATTTAAACCTACAATATCATATTCAGATTGAGGGTCTTCTTCCACTATAGATTCATCATTTTGAGAACCACCTGGAATTTTAGGCGCAGGTTCACATAACGCCAACTGAACTCTTGGTAACACTGCACAAATGTTTATTACTTCAAGAGCGTTTCTGATCATTTCACACCTTAAATAAAAAATGTTATATATATATATTAAAAAAAAAAAAACAAATAATATAATTTATTATTACCTTCCAGCAATATTCCAATCATGGGCCATACTAATAATCTGCAACATTATATTTAAACCACCTAATTTTATAAATTTATCAACGGGGGACCAATGACTCTTCAATGACATTTCATTTGACACCAACTCAATTTCTTCATAAACTTCAGTCTGAGACTTTTTATTTGACTACAAAAATAATGATATATGATAAATATTACACACTCAAAATATTATTTTTAAATAACATACTTTATAGCCTGGTACAGGGAAAATATTATTAAATGATGAAGTCAGACCAGAATCTCTAATTTTCGTTCTACGTATTATTTGAGCTTTTATGTGTAAATGTGCCTCGAAATAATGTTTCAAACCAGCGCACACATGACGAATAGTTTGTCTGGCAGAACATTCAGCATCTTCATTTAATTGACTGTACTCTGAATCTTCTGATGATAAAAGAGGCAATGTACTGATCTGTATAAATTAACATATTTAAAGTTTAAAATGTTACTGAATTTGTAATAACTATTTTATGGACATTACCACATTAATGAGTTTACGTAATCCGTCGTGGCTATCAAATATTTCCTGAATAACCCTATAATGAAAACTGTAACTAAAGAACATAGTGGCATGACATCTACTTGAATCATGAGAACACTCCAACATCCAAAGAGCATACCTAATGGTTGAATTTATATTTATTACAAAAAGTTTATTTTCAATTATCAATTATAGCTTTAAAACATTTTGTTACACACTTTACAAGATCAATAAGGATATGATCTGGTAGCAGGCAAATTCTTTCCATTGCTTCTTCACAATATGACAAATAATAGAAGCAAATTGAAACACCAGTGGATGGTATACTAGGTCTGGGAATTGTAAGTATTTTCTAAAAATAAAAGTAAAATATTATGAAAAAAAGTTATTTAGAAATAATTAAAAAATAATCACTAAAACATCATTAGATAAAATGCAAAAAATTATTATATATTTTAAATTTGCTTGCTTCCTTAACATACATGCATTTTATGGAAACATAGAAAATAAGGTTAGGTTTATACTGCATTATAAGTCAAGTTATGTAGAAATTATAATTTTAAGCACATCAATTTTGAGAATACAAATACTCATATAGTTCACAATACACCTTAGCACTATAACATGGACAGAATATTTCTTTAATTTAGAAACAAATATTGGTGTCAATTAAAATTGTCTAAAATTACCATGCATATCATAAAATGCTAAATAATAAATATAATACCTGTAATCCTGATATGCAAACAAATTCAGTGGCAATTTTCTTATGACATAAGAGAGATGCTAAGTATTTAAGTGCTTCAAAAGTCAAATAACCATTTTGCTTGTCTGATGTGCTGATTATTTTCATAACCAAGTAAAGAGAATTTTTCTCATACGCATGACACAAAAACTAGACACAACAAATTTATATTGAACAATTATATTATAGATAATATTAAACTTAAATAAATATTGCATACTTCTTGATACTCTCCAATGGGAACCAAATATTTAAGACAATAAACTATTTTTGTAGTTAAAGTGAGTGGATAAATTTGTACCCAGTGACTTGTGATAGTGTCAGCAGTTACCCATGATGAATTACTATCCCCACAAATGCCGCTTTCTTCTAAAAATTTAAATTAAATACTTTATAGAAATAAAATAAATCAAAATAAAACAGAATTATTATACTTGTTTCATTAGGTAAGTCTTCAATACTCATTTTTGAGTTCTGAGAACTCTTTTCAACAATTGCATCATTGGTATATGGAGTATATGTTGATTTTTTCCGCACTAAGAAGCCATAAAGAGTATCAATTTATAATGATGAGTTATTAGATATTTTATTATTATTATTATTAATATTTAACATAAGATATGAAACATTTTGTGAGAAATGTATTACATTTTTAATAAATAATTAATATTTCCAAATTATTTTATGCAAATATATGTTATAGAGTATATATATGTATATGTCTATATATGTGTTCTTTATATACTCTGCACATATATTAATTTATTCAAATATCTAACATAATAAACAACAAATAAGGATTTTTATAATAGATAATATCTACTATAATAAATTTGAAGTATGAAAAATTACTTTTTTTATTTGGAGAACGTTTGATAGAAGCATCACCATTATTAGTCCGACCATTATTTGGATGTGAAAATGGTTGAATATTTTCAATTTCTTCAAAAATTTGAGTATAGTATGATTGTAAACGATCCAGTACTAGTGGGACAAGACTACTGTTATATTCTCTAAACAAAATTGAAAACACATTTTAATATTATTTACAACAATAGATTATAAAACCTACTTAAAATTGGCCGCAATATCTGGTAATTCCATACTTGTTGCTAATAGTCCTGTAGCATATGTTTGTAGAGGTTCAGAATTTGTTTGAGCCCAAAAGAATAGCCGGTGGATAAGTTCATCATTTGCAGGCTGAACAAATCATTTTAATTATTACTATAAAGAAGTATCATAACAAATTTAAATTTTACTTACACTTTCAAAAACAACAGTAGTCTCTAAGCCTGGAATAAGACTCATCATAAGCCTACACGCAGTGACATTTAGTTCATGATTGTCTTTAGGTCTCCTGGCCCAATAATTATCTTTTAAGTAAACCATAACCAACTAAAAATATTTAACGTAAATAATATAATATAAAATATCAACTTAAATTACATTAACATATTTACACTATTCATTAGCACATCCTTACGAAACAGAATTTTATACATCTGACCAAGCACACAAGTAGGATCTATCCGTAATGGATGACGATTATCAAAAGGGTCTGGATCTTTTTTAAGATAATTTTTTGATTCGGTTTCAAATAGTTCACATAATCTGTAAATAGTTACAATAACAAAGATTTATTAGAATGATTGAAAACTTGAAATTAAAAAAAACAATTAGCAGAGTATGGTACCTATCTAATTTTTTTTTTTAAATTTAGCAGATCATACTAAGAATATTTATGGGTAGTAATAAATTCAACACATAAAAAACATGAGCTTTGACATTAAATAGATATTTGGAAAATATTCATACTATATATAGATTAAATATTAAAACCGTAACTCTTTTAGATATACAGTGTGTCCCACCGTGTTTGACAGATTTTTCTAGTACTTTTAATATTACATTCTTTTAGATTTTTTTTTCAATTAGTTTGTCTTTGAAGGGGACATCTTTTTAGAAGAAAACTAAATTTTTATTTTCATCCTTTAAAGATAAAAAAAAAAAAAGTAACTATTTACTCACATTGTACAATTTTCAAAATAGCAAATTTGTAGAAAATATCATTCTTAAAATTTGAATGTATCATACATTCATATCAGACTAATAATTTCTTAATTATAGCCGTTTTAATTTCTAGAAAATAGATGTGAAAACAATTAATATTCTATCGCGTATTTAATAGAAGGTAAAAAATAATTCTTTACCTTCTATTGCTGATTGTGATTCTTTATTGCACAACGTGTTATTTTATTGAATATTATTTGTTTTCAGGCCTATTTTCTAGAAATTAAATTGAACAAACTAAGAAAAAAGTAAAAAAAATAAGATATAATTCATTGGATATGAATGTAATAAATTAAATTTGTTTTCAAAATCGATGTGCCCCTCAAAGAAAAACAGATTGACAAAAAAAAAATTTTAACAAATATAATATTAACAGCTCTAGAAAAATGTGTCAACACGGTGGTAGACTCTGTACACCAATTTAATTGTATATTTAATACATAACGATAGGCCCAGTCAAAAATAGAATGGGTCACATAAAATCATTACTTATTTTAATTTTAATTTAAGTCAATTTTTAAGCCAGTGTAAACGTTAAATCTTGATAGGACATTACAGCACAATGGTAGGGTATCTCATAAATGTTTATAACATTAAAACAATTTTGAAAATCCATACATAAGAAACCGAGATATTTAAAAAAAAAACATTCTAATAGATAAATAAATAGTATTTAATAATTTGACGATTTCGATTACTTGAGCAATGTTGGCGTGGGATCGAAATTGGGAGATTGTAACTCTTCTTCCCATTTCCGAAGTGTATGTGTTAATTCACTAATGGAGTGTTCCATAACTCGCGAGTGACAACGAACAATTAAACATCAAATAGTCACGGAAATATAGTTTTCTCTGTCGAAACAAACTACTGCAAATAGAACCGAGACAGGGACAGTGGTCAAGTTTCAAATTCAACTTTAAAACAAGATGCCATCAATAGTGGTAACACTGGGTAGACGCACATCCACCACTCCGGTCGGACTCGGTACTTGCGAGCAAGACCCCCTTTTCACCGTATATGTTGTAAAGAACAGATAGTCTGGTTCCCGACCAATCAAAAATTAAAAATACCGCCGTTTTTCTCCGATAAAATTCTCATTCGCGATCCGTCGGCTCCGCTCGGCCGTCGGATTGTAGGAACGATGACTTTTTCTCCAACCGTCCTACCATCAGGAAGTTCTCCGGAAGTGATTTTTTTTTTTTATGCTGATGTGCTGTCGATCCGGCTGTGTAACGAAATTATGCGATTTCCCGTGTGGGTCGGGAATTCTTCAACGTCTCTACCAGTTTTCCGGTAAGCATGAAAGTTCCATATTATCCCCGTTAATTTATGCCTATATATATATTTAAGTTTGTCGTTAGCGATTCGTGTCATATTATTTATTATCTCATGTACATNTCTTTTATTTATAATTGTCATTTTTTTTTTTTTTTTTGTTTCTACGCATACCCCTCGCATCAGACGTTACACTTGTCCCAAGGTGTCATCCGTATCGTCACCCCATCTCTCCAGGTTCCACAGTAGGCCAGATCAAAGGACATTAAACATGGACCCCGCCAAATTACGGCACCCCGTTGATCGGTGTAATTCCGCGTACGTGGCAAGACGCGACCCTGGCTGAGCCTCCCGAAATACGTATGTATACATATAATTAAAAGTGAAGGTCCACACTTGTCCTCTCCCGGTTGACACCGCCAAAAAAAAAAACGTATCTTCTAGTGTACATAAACATATAAAAAAAAAAAAAAGTAATCGTCAATATTGAAGGATTCTTCTCCTCGTAGGAAAATAATCCCGAAATCGCTGCGCGCTCGTCGAAATCCGCGTAGGTATCGCACGGACACACGTTCCTCTTGTCATACTCTTTCATTGTATCTATCACCTTGCTTATAATTGTAACCATGAAAATCATTTAAATTTTCTGTAACCTAATGTATGTTGACATTATGATTATTTGTATACTGTTGGTTTTATGTATGGTTTTAATCTAAATGCTCCCTTCCCCCTCTTTATTTCATGTGGAGTTTTTATGCCTTGTGCTTTTCTTCACGTTAACTTACTGATAAATAAAAATTATATTGATCTCCGTTTTCATTTGTTAAGTAACTTAAAATATTGATTTTTATTTTCCCCAAAAACCAATTGGCTATTCGTTATTGTGATTATTATATATGCAACCCCATATACCCCTTTTCAGGTTTCTACTCGAAAAATCGCGGCTATCTTCATTACATTGTATCCTCAGTCGTATAGTCATCAGGTTGAAAAAAAAAATCCGAACGCTCCGGCGAAACCGTCTCGGTGTGCAAACGGTGCGTGTTCGGCGCATTATTCTCGACCCATGGCCGACGTTACGGAATATTTAATGATTGGTCGTGGTCAATGAAAGTGACGACTTAAATTTGTGCGTAAATTAATCCTAAAAAAAAATTTTTTGCTGCGGCTCAAAACATCAAATTTCTGTTCCAACAATTCCATACCAAGACGGTTAAAGTAAAAACTGCCAATTATTTATTCGTTTTTTTCCTTATTGCGCCATATGGTATTCACTCTTATGTACGTATACATTTGAGCTCAATAATTTCTTTAGAGGCACTAACGGTGTGACCAACGTGAACGCGAATTTGCGGCTAAACTATATTCAGATATTTTAAATTTTTTTTTACATGCATTGTATTTTGAAGTGAGTTGTGCCAAGGTTGTGCGGTATATTTTACACGTTTATGTTCTACTCTTTTTACAACAAAAACAACTAAAAACGTTTTTCAGTTTACAAAAACAGTTGTTAATATTTAATGTATAAAAAATATAAAAAAAAAATCAGTTTTAAATTCAATTATTTATAAGGATAGACTTGTTTTTGGTGAATTCTATCGCCTATACCCACAGTTGCGTAAAGATGAAAATTCATTTAGATCTTATACCAGAATGACTACCGATACACTTACCGTTCTGGCAACAGCTTTCCATTCTTTCTCGGACACCAATCTGTCTCTATACTTTGTGTTAAATTTATTCCAAAGAACATTTCTTTTATTGTACTTCGGATATAATGAGCTCCATATTGAGACCATACAACAATATCTGATATGTAAATATATCATATTATAGTTATAACACTATATATTTTTATTTAATAATTTATATTACCTGTTTACCTATTCGTATCGTATAATGAATAAATCGTAAATTGTGATTTAAATATTTTGACATCTATTCGATTAAACGCGCGACCAAAAGCAAAATGATTTGATTTTCAAACCGCGCGTCGCCCGCGTCCATCGCGTACGATGGACAATCTAATCTATTTTTATATATTTGATAATTTTATTCACCGCGTCGCCCGCACCGCCTTTACCGCGTTCACGTTGAACGCAGCGTAAACGTCGAAATTCCGGTAAAAACGCGTTTTAATTTAGCATTTCCAATATTCACCAGACACATTTATTAATTTTACGTTATTGTTCCTGAGTGAGAATTCGTTAAACCGTAAATGCGATTGGTTAGTATGACAGTTTCATGTGTGATATCAAACGATTACACGAAAGTGTAATAATATGTTTTTGTATTATAGGATAAAATCAAACAAAATCCTAGAGAAACTTTTCAATATTTAAAAAGCCGTTTACCAACAATAAAATTTCCCTTTTACTGTTAAAGAGTTTTTGCTCGAATCCAATTTTTAGTGTCTTTATAACTATATCTATTTCTATTTTAAATGGGTATCATGAAACAATAACTGTTTTTTCTTAACAAGTATCTATTAGTATGTATTCAATTTTACAAATCAAAAATTCCAACAAATTATTTAATTCAAAACATTATCAGAATATATTGCAAAAAAAAAAAAAATGAAATATAATAAATGTTGCACTGAGATTCTTATTTCTTTTAAAGATTCCCATATTTTAATAATATTTGTCATTTCAATCTTATCCAAAATGTCTTTCTCAGAATCAAGTATAATCAAATAGTTGAATCTGGAACTATTCATAGTTGTTCTTAAATGGTTTTTGATTATTTTTAGCTTCAAGACAGAGTCATTAAAACGTATACATTTTGATAAAATATCGTCAATTTCGTCAGTTACTATAAATTGTTATCGTATTCAACGTTAAAACTACAATAATTATTATTCTGCATTGTTTTTTCAAGTAGTTTTCAGAGGTCACAATACATTCATAACTTTACAAATACGAGCAAATTGCGTGACGTTACAATTTAAATTTTGATGCACATTTGCAATAAACCAAAAAACGTACCTACTGCAAATAGAAGTAAAACAGCGACAGTGGTCAAGTTTTAAATTCAACTTTCAAAAAAGATGTCAATTTTGCTCCTGACAACGTACAAAAATAAATTCAAACTTTTACAAACATCGGCTACAACGAGACGAGAACGGTGCACAAGGAGGTATACTTGTCTAAGTGCACAACTAGTGCCTGTGTTACAGAATTGCGTATCGCGTACTTATGTCATGAAATGAAGCTTCACGAACTACGAACATGAAGTAAATTCAAGCGTGAGACTGAACACGAACCGCAGTACCGCAAAATTTTTCTTGGTTAACCGGTTCTTCTGTGCGGTCATTGGTCACGTCGGGAGCGCTAGCATCGAATTTTCTTAACGTTCGCGCGTATAATGCATTAGGGGTAAAGTTGTACTATAGTCTGTTCCTGGAGAGAACGGTCCGCTCTCCGACCAAATCGAAGCGCTACTGCGCATCCCCACGCCGCAACACTATCCATTTATCCCCTCCCGGATCTATCGACAGCGCAGCAACGGCGTTTGGCAATTTTTAATTTTTTCTCCGTTTTTTTAATTATTTCAAAATGAATGACGGCGAGTCATTGTATTATGTTTTGTATTATATCTACTATATTATACCTACTGTATTATACCTACAGTGTTCAATAAGATATTAAATAAATAAATATGTATACAAAAAAAACAGTCTGGATTATTATAGAAGGTGCTTGGATGCGCGATGTCTGATAATAATAACAATCGAATTTCTACAAAATATCCTAGCGGTGTATAGTCAAAAACCGACGACGGAAGAAATGACAATCGGCTGCCTTTGCTGAAATCAAGTTATGTGAAGGGGGAAAACATGCGCACAAGCGGACCGTTCTCTCCAGGGACAGGCTATAGGTGCATCCGTAGCATACGCATTATCACATTGATACGGCATGGTATATACAAATCATAGACATACTAGCTAAGACGTTTTTACCAACTAGTACCCTACAATGGTATCACGGTTGTAGTATAACCGGTGAACGATAATCAAAATAAAAACGGCTGTGGTGCTCAGTGTTGTTTTTATAGTTTTTACTTACGTTAAGCACGTGCTTGGCATCAATCAATTCCCCGTTAGAAAACCACGCTCGGTATCGTTCTTGTTTTATTTATTTTGCCGATGTATGAAATGCATGTTGAAATCTTTGAATTGTCCATCACGAAAATTCAATGTCTGTTCCGTGTTTCGATCGCAGTATGGCGGCCGTTAAAATTTTACAGTTTTCCCGTTTAAAAACAATTTGGCAGGTCACATTGCTTGTGCCGCGACAATCGCTGCATATTGAACCGTTCGCGGACGTTATCGATAAGAACAAAAACTAGCCGGGTCGTCTAAATGCACGTTACATTATATTCTCGTCATGGCCGTATTCCACAGTTATTCCCCATTTAATTTTAAAATTATATTTGATATTTGATTTTATTTGCTCGTATTGCCTGACCGATGTCTGGATCTATTTTTACATTTGTACGGATTATTCTACGTCCCCGTTCGACGGAATCGATATTTTTTTTCCTTTTACAAGACTCCTCGTTTGAGTCTCCGCTCATTAGCGATATTTATTGTTCCCCTTTTGTGAGATGTTTTGTTGGCGGATCGATTTGCCGGTGTGCAGATTTTTCATACAGACAGACGTATATTATATAGGTTGTCCATCATCGGTGTGGACGCATGGAGCCTGACTGCGGCTGTCCCGGAGTACCTAGCCGCCGAATTTAATTGTACTCAGTACTTGCGAGCAAAACCCCTTTTCCCTGTATATGTTGTAAGGAACAGATAGTCTGGTTCCCGACCAATCAAAAATTAAAAATACCGCCGTTTTTCTCCGATAAAATTCTCATTCGCGATCCGTCGGCTCCGCTCGGCCGTCGGATTGTAGGAACGATGACTTTTTCTCCAACCGTCCTACCATCAGGAAGTTCTCCGGAAGTGATTTTTTTTTTATGCTGATGTGCTGTCGATCCGGCTGTGTAACGAAATTATGCGATTCCCCGTGTGGGTCGGGAATTCTTCAACGTCTCTACCAGTTTTCCGGTAAGCATGAAAGTTCCATATTATCCCCGTTAATTTATGCCTATATATATATATTTAAGTTTGTCGTTAGCGATTCGTGTCATATTATTTATTATCTCATGTACATGTAGCTATATTAATTTATCCTCGATCACTCGTTTTCCTAAGCGTGTCGCAATAGTGCGTTTTATCTCCTTGCGCTCAACTGTCGGGTAAACATCAATTGCGCGTCAACCGCATGGTAAATGTGAACCAGTCTTTTATTTATAATTGTCATTTTTTTTTTTTTTTTTGTTTCTACGCATACCCCTCGCATCAGACGTTACACTTGTCCCAAGGTGTCATCCGTATCGTCACCCCATCTCTCCAGGTTCCACAGTAGGCCAGATCAAAGGACATTAAACATGGACCCCGCCAAATTACGGCACCCCGTTGATCGGTGTAATTCCGCGTACGTGGCAAGACGCGACCCTGGCTGAGCCTCCCGAAATACGTATGTATACATATAATTAAAAGTGAAGGTCCACACTTGTCCTCTCCCGGTTGACACCGCCAAAAAAAAAAAACGTATCTTCTAGTGTACATAAACATATAAAAATAAAAAAAAGTAATCGTCAATATTGAAGGATTCTTTCCTCGTAGGAAAATAATCCCGAAATCGCTGCGCGCTCGTCGAAATCCGCGTAGGTATCGCACGGACACACGTTCCTCTTGTCATACTCTTTCATTGTATCTATCACCTTGCTTATAATTGTAACCATGAAAATCATTTAAATTTTCTGTAACCTAATGTATGTTGACATTATGATTATTTGTATACTGTTGGTTTTATGTATGGTTTTAATCTAAATGCTCTCTAACCCCTCTTTATTTCATGTGGAGTTTTTATGCCTTGTGCTTTTCTTCACGTTAACTTACTGATAAATAAAAATTATATTGATCTCTGTTTTCTTTTGTTTAGTAACTTAATATACTGATTTTTATTTTCTTCAAAAACAAATTGGTTATTCGTTATTATGATTAATATATATACAATCCCATGTACCTCTTTTCAGGTTTCTACTCGAAAAATCGCGGCTATCTTCATTACATTGTATCTTATGTCATTATTAAATTAAAAAAAAAAAAAAATACGATCACTCCGGCGAAACTCGGAAAAATGATCCTGCACAAAGCAACTGTATTGTCGAAAAAGATACGGACATACTTCGCACTATTGATGGGCCACTGTTGTAGGCGAGAAGTTGGGAAGGTAGAGAGGAAATTGAATATTTATATCTGTTAACGACGATTAAACGTTACTAATAAAAAACGATTGTGATCGGAATTCGGTTAATATAGTGTTGTTTTGTCAAAAACATAATATATTTGATATTACGGTAAAATAATCACCTTCGCATTATGTGTTTCCTTTAATGAATTGTATTTAATATTATACCGCGAGCGTAAATGACATAAGGAAAGTCCTGAAGACCGCCGGTCCAAATCGATTTCATCAGACTATAGTGAATACTGTTAAAAAACGATAACCCTTCTTTCACGCATTCAGCTATAGAAGTCCCAACCATGTTTAGCAAGTGAGCAGCATATGGTACGTAATACGCGTAAAGATTTTTTTTTTATTATCCTTACCTGTAAACCCGAGTAAATTCCAGACATTGGCGACGTCGTATGACTGGCCTCTACAGTTGTTTATGTCAATATCATTTTTAGTTAAAAAAATAAAACAGTACGGCCGTTTCAAGTGCTTCAGACTTATGCCCAATATTTGGTAAAAAAACACATAAAGCGTTCGACATGAAAACCGTCATCCTTAACGTAACGAATAACGTATGCTAACTGGTCTGTGTGGCTGATATCAGGAGTTGAGTCTATCACAATCGAAAAATATTTTGCTCTTTTAATTTCTTTTATAATTGCATTAGTAGTTTATGCTGTCATTAATGTAATTATTTCATCACATGTTGTAGAAGAAAGGTAAGATGTATGGCCACTACCCGGGTTTCCATGTTGAACTATACGATTGCTTAGAAAAGGGTCAAATTCAGGTATTAATTCTAAACGCATCATAAAATTATCATTATTTTGACTACCAAGTTTTTCCACGGAACCTCTAAATGGAAAACCGCGACTTCCCAGTTTTTTTATAACAACAATAATAATAACCCGTTTCAACATTTACCCAATAATGTATTCCTAAAATCTATTCCTACACATAACTAAATAAATTGTTATTTTTAATTTAACGACATTTTTTTTCATATATACAGCTATTAAGTTTTTTGTAAAAATGGTCGCTCGATCAACAATTGGTTTAGCAATCCACTTTTATATTTTTTCTTCGTCATTAATTAGTTTTATATCTTTATGGTTTCTTGTGTTAATCATAGTCCTACCGAATACACTGTTGTTCATTAACTTATAATAATTTTTTTCATATAAGTAAGAAAAAGTCGTCACATTACTTAGACTATCAAGGTTTCAACTACTTTTTACAAAACAATTGGTTTAATTTTAAAGTTAACAATAATTAGTGAATTTGATATTAAGTTTAATAATCAGAAATGATGAGTTGCTGTTTTGATGACATAGAATTTGAAAGCTCTTTGGAAAGTCTTGATGTCATAGACTTTAAAAATTATCCGGAAAGTGTTGTACTGACTATGAAGTTCTGTGGAAAACCAATTTTATACATTTGGGCTGCTAGAAAAGTTGTAGTCTTATAACTTGATAATTCTAATCGATCCCCATTTTTCTACTACTTATATTATAAACATTCATTGAGAACAAATCGTATTAAACAATTTAATAGATAATGAGAAAATCAGTAAAATATGAATATAAATAAGTGTTCATAAACGAGACATAAAAATGATTAATGAGTAAGACGGAATTTATTTTGTATTATATTGCTCACAGTAATTTAAATATTATAATATTAAAAATAATTTTTGTTTTCAAATAAAACAACAAATATAATATAATCTGTTTAAATGCGATACATCACAAAATACGAATAATTAAAACTACCAAATGGTAAATATATTCTTTTCAACTTAAAGTTCTTTTATTATTTATTATGATGCGATTATTTTATTTGACGTTAAATAAATTCTGATGTAATATTCAACAATAATTTCACGACAATTCAGCGCTATGTGTCGATGTACAATATATCGCAATATAGTTCAAGTAATGCAGTACTTGATAATATATAATTTAATTATTATTGATTATTGTCCATCCGTGATCGTTTCGTTGCACGATCGTTTTAGACTCGAAAACTACCACATTTTACCTACATATTCCTTGTTAATAAGGGGGGGACTAGGAAGACAACTGCTAAGAAAGGATTTATTCAAAATTCTACTTCTAAAGGATGAAAAGAAAATGTATTATATATTCTGAGTGGAACAAGGGAGCTTATGATTTTACAAAAATGTTTATTATTATTTTTTTTTGTCTGCGTAACTTTTCTACCAGACGACTTGCTCAGAAGTGTAGTACCTTTTCTGAAAGAAAATCGGCGTGGGGAGGTACTTAAAACAGGTCATTTTTCGATTTTCTCAAGATCTTTCTCATCAAAATTTAAAAAGCGGGGAAATTAACGATATATGTTAATAAAATATTACGATTTTTTTTCCTGCGCACAACTTTTCAACCAGCAATTTTGCTCCAATATTTAGTGAATAGCAATGTTTCTATAAAGAAATTTCACGAAGGAAATACTTCAGAGAGCTAATTTTTTGATTTTTCCAAGAGTTCCCAGCAATTGTGAAAAACCGGGATAAAATTTGGGAAAAACGATACAAAATTAAACAAATATTATTAAATAAAATAAATAAAGCCTATTTAATTATAAAAATGAAAAATGAATCGTAAAATAACAGGTTTCCCCTATTATCTATAAAAATCAATAATTAATAACATATACTATTGAGATACCTACATTTTGTGATAAAAGAGTTTTGTCCCTTTACACAGATATCGTTAAATAATAAATAAAATGTTATAACCGAAAAAATGATTAACTTTTCTACCAGTAATTTTGCTCAGATTTCCAATGGTAGCACTTTTTATGGAAGGAAATCTACGGTCAGACGGTGTACTTTAGAGTGGTCACTTTTTGATTTTCCCATGAGTTTTCCCAATAAATGGGACGAACCGGGAAAAAAGGTACAAATGGTACAACGTTAAACAAGTATTATTAAAGAAAATATTTAATGCTTATGTAATTATTTTAACATAATGTGATATAAACATATATTGTTGACAAAGCAACACTATCAAACGAACTGCGCTCAGAATTATTTTTTGTTAGCAATGGTTTATTGTTGGTTACAAGTATAAATTTAGTAACTGTATCCTACCTTTCAACTACCCTCATACAACAGTGACCGCCCGTCCCCAGTATCAGCATCTGTTGTTTCTTTATTGGTTTACATATTCATTGGTAAGTATACATAAATTGTTTGTAAAATGATATAGTTTTAAAATTAATGTATTATTATCATAATATACATTAATATACCTGTATCAAAAATATATTACTTTGATATGTTTAAACTCTAAAACACCTTGGAGTACCTACAATCAATTCAGTGAAACCTGTTTTGACGGACACCTGTATATAATGGATAACAGCAAAAATAACGTATATTTTTGTGGTTATTACACTATACTCAGCATGCAATAATATACTATCTTTGTCCCTAGTCTGTTATATTTCACTAAATACGGATGAGCAATTATTAAGGTATTATAAAATAAAATTGTAATACTCATTTCATCCCAAATTACTAATTAAATACATTCAATAATTACTGACTACTGTTATTTGATCAGGGGGTGGCCACAGCTAGAGAGTCTATGCCCTAATAATATATTAGCTATATTATTAGCTATGTTCGTTTTAACAAATGGTATACACTTTTTACTACAATGTTGATAAGAAATACATTAATTACACACACTAGCCACACAATCAAATGTGTAGGTGTCGATTCTACATTATTGTGTAAATTCTATATAAAAAATGTACACCTTTTTTGTTAAAACGAACAAAGCTAATAATAGGTTTTCTAGCCGTAGTAAAAGTGAAGTAAGCAAAACATCAAATTACAGAATAACCACACGCGAGGTAAGAAAATATATCAAGAATGTTGTAGCACACTTGGCTAAATTATGTGGTATCAGTACTTTATTGTTAATGTTTATCGGACGCGGTGCCGCTCAAATTCAAAGGTGTATGTGACTATGATAATATACTTTCTGATGTGACTTGAGTTTTCGAAATTTCGTGAAACAGTAAAACACAATGATTCTTTAACCTGGAGTCATATTATTACTAACAAGTGTAATGTCCTCGCTGTTCTTTCATTTGTCTGCCACTATTAGAGACTGGAGTGTATACGTCTATCCAATGTCTCAATGTCCAGTTGTTTAATACGCAATTAATAAGAAAAAAGGATTTAGTTTTCACCAGTAAGTTATTTATGGTAATTTTATTTGTACCAATAGGTTTAGTATTTATTTATTTTGTATTTGTAGCATCCTAATGTTGAAGATGTTCATAAATAATGGATAAAGATTATAGAACCTAAAGCTGTTGAAATTGATAAAATGAAACATAGTGTTTTATGTTCGGCACATTTTAAAAAAGATTGTTCTTAAAATATTTATGTTGGAAAACATTAAAAGAGACATCCATTCCTATACATCCATAAAAAATAAACTTAATATTATATAAAATATGATTATACCTACTTTGAGGAATATTTTCAATGTATTATTGTTGGCAATAAAAAACGTTCTTGATTTTGCAATTAATATTCTGCAAAATAGCAAATGTAAAGTTGAAAATCCAGAAATACCTTCTTGTCATATATCTAACCATTATTATAATTATAATAAATTAATAAAAAATTTAGACCTGAAAGATGGTGTGTGTGTGCTCTATATGAAGATATAGATTTCTATCTTCAGGAAATGATGATATGATGCCAGTTTTTTCTAAAATACTCTAAATCATTAGTAAATAATATTGATCCAGAGATTGATATTCCCTGAAAAATATATCTCAGGACCATGGTTTTTTCTTTGGTAATTGAACACTCGGATAAAGAAAAAATTAAGACTTGATCAAAAATTAAGGAGACAGAAAAAAACAATTGTTTCATTAAAAAGTAAGTAAATGTGTGGAATGTTTACATTGTTGCAAACTATAGGAACAATAAGTGATGAATTCTTTTTAATAAAAATGTATAATTACCATTTTTAAGTGATATAAAGTACTAAATGGCAAACTTCTACATAAAGATCAATCTATAATGATTGAAAATAATTTTGGTAAGAAAAAATCTTCTTACAAATTTAGGAAGGAGAAATTCTGAGCAAAAAATTACCAGAAAGTATAGCGTAGAGCAGTAGTTTTCAACCTTTTTTGAATCGCAACCCCCTAATTTTTTTTCTCATTTATGACGACTCCTTCAAAAATTGTTTGTTAGAAATCCAAAAATACAATGTACAGTGAACGTGATTCATGTGGTTTTTGGAGACCCTCTATCATTCACGAAACTTTTGGTGATCGCGACCTCCAGATTGAAAACCACTGGCATAGAGCATAGACCATTTGCTGTAACTTTGAACTATTTACTGAAGGCATATACTATTATTTGCGATACATTTCAATTGATATTGCCTTGTACTTGTACCAAGTAAATGATACGTGCTTGTATAAACTGAACCTGGCTTTACCATAGAAATTTAAAATATATTGGTGATTGCTAAAAAAAATTATTCCAAACCATTATATTTTGTTCTTTCGTATAGAGCATTAATGGTGATGAAGTTTAAATGGCTATTAAATGCAATAATAGTAGTTAGCATTAATGTGTCATGAAAGATGCCAGTAAGTTATTTCTTTTTATACTCACTTAAATCTTTATTAGATATTACATTAATATAGTAAAAGTAGTTTAATTTTTGATGGTTGTTATATAAATATTAGTATTAAAGTGCTTAGTTGTAAATTGATTTTAAGGCCTGAACAATTAATCAGTTATTTTAATGTTAATAATTGTAATGTCATTATAGATCATTTGTATATGATCAAGCTAGTACGGAATGCTTTGGGTGAAAAGAATTATTAATTTATTTAAATGGTGAAATTGTAAATTTTAGTTATATTGAAAAATTACTGATACTCCAACAAAAGGAGAATGCATATTTCGGGAATAAATTAAAAAAGAACAAGTTATCTATTTCAGAAAAAAAAGTGAAATTGTCTACTCAACTTTTATCCTGTTCAGTTGATAATTCACTGGAATGTATAACAAATTTGAACCTAAATGATTTTGAAAACTGTAAAACCACCATTATGTTAATTAATATTTTTAATGATGTATTTAATATACTTAATTCTCATAGTTTTTCAAACAATATTAAAGCTGTAAATAATCAAAACTAAAATAAAATATTTCTTTTTATACAAAAATTGTTTTATTTCATCAAAATTCTAATATTAATAGATAGTAACTCAAGTTTGAAGTCTCAATGATCTATCAGACTTTTTGTAATTATTTTCTCATCATTAATGAATTTAAAAATTATTTGGTTGATGCCTAAAAATTTGATTTTTATACCTTTTTATAGCTATGACCATCTAGAAATGTTTTTTAGGAATATAAGATGTCAGGGTCGATATAATATTAATCTTACTGTAAATCAATTTAAATCAGAGTCAACAAATTAATAGTAAATTCCCAAATTAAAGTGAGAGGTTTTGGTATCTGTATTTCACTGGAAGATATTTCAATACTAAATTGTTCTTGTTTCTAATAATTCAATGAACATAATAAATGGCACTAATTTAACACTAAAAAAAATGTATTGAACTAGAAAGATATAAATGGCTGGTATTATTTCTCATAAATTAATCTTAAAAATTAAATGTGAAAAAATTTTTATTTGGTGCCCAAGATTTTTTAATGTCCATTTTTTGGTTTAAAAAATAGAGGTGGATTTTATCCTCTATGGATTTGATGCAGAATTCTACTTACTACACTAAATGAACAAGCAAACTATTCTCACTGGTGTGGTTATATTCAATAACATCAATACGGATTATATTTAGGTCAAGTGGTAAATTAAAAATAAAACATTTCTTATCAAATTCAGAATATTTAACTAAAAACCATTTAGAAAATTAATAAAAGAATGTTCTAATGTTCTTTAGAAGACAATAATTGACATGTATGTAATATTATAACATACACCACAGGAATCTGTTTTGGAAACACCCATTTAATTTCTTATAGATATATAAATTATTTTAAATAGTTATATTTTTTTTTTACAACTTAAATTATACAAATATTAAACAAATTAAAAACAATAAAAAAAAATATACATTTCTATTGTAGAAATATAAAAATGTATAATGACGTAACAATTCAGCCATTACATAAGTAATTTGTTATTATTATTCTTACAAATAGCACTAAATTATGAAGAAGAGAAAAAAAAAATATACAAATTAAGCACCTATGTCTTCTGGGTCTGTATTTACACTTGCATCAAAACTTGAATCAGACAATGGTGTACCAGAACGGGAATGGGAATCAGCTACACTACTGCTACTGCTTGAAAAATGATTTCTATCATATTCATCATTCATTCCACCGGTGATAATGTCTTCCAGAAAGGATGGAAACACTAGTTTAAACCCACACTAAAACTATACAAATTGTAAAAAAAAAAAAACACCATGTAACTTTACTTACAAGAAGATAAATTTCCATCAGACTCTGAACCTTCACTTTCAACATTTTCTTCTTCGTCTTCTTCCATCTAAAGTAACATAGATTATGAACATTGAGTTTTATATTTAAAATAATAAAAACAAAAACATACATTTTCGTCATCAGCCCTAGATCGACCAACATCATATATCCGGACAACAGACTCATCAATGTTTTCATATAATCCTTGATTTTCAATAATGGCTATTTGTGTGTCATAACTATTGCTTGCCATATGATAAATAAACTTTTTAACGTCGATAGTAGCTAAACATTTGCAATAAATTAAAAATTATTATAAATATTAACTATAGAAATATTGGGATATAAAATAATATTCAAAATACATTTTTATATAACACAATTTTTTAAAACTTTGGAAATCGAAAACTCTGATAAAGTAAAATAAATGAAGCTCTTTTGGGAAAATCTCAATTACTCAGAGAAAAACAATAGATAAGTTGAATATTTTGTGCTTGAACATATACAGAATTATTGTATAATTATTTGGAAAGTTACTACAGTATACACATTTTTAAAATAATAACAATATTAAAATAGTAAAATCACAATTGTTTTTTTTTTCTGTAAACCTAAGCAAGTCGAAAAAAAAATTCATCTCCCTCGAATTTTAATTATTTTATTTACCTATGTTTGAGTAGTCATGAGGATCTAATGTTTTAAATGAAGTCTGATAATTTGAATCTTCTTCAATCTCTTGATCAGTGACATACACATACAGTCCATCTCCAGGTTTAGAGAACATGATACTGCATTGATCAAGACTGGATACTGTACGCAATAACTTAAATGTGCGCATATCCCAGACTTCTGTATTCGCTACAATCTATATATATAGATATATTAAAAAAACAGTTTTAATATTCTTTGGAAAATACTATTCAAAAATTAATTGCAAAGAAGTTTCTTTTTCTTTCGGTTCTCAAACATATAATTTACCTCAAGTCCATTTGGATGAAATATTCCACTAATATTTTGATTTAATTTATCAAATTTATGTATTTCTTTTTTAGATGCGATATCCCATAACACACCATCAGATAATACCAGTTCATTGGTAGGATCAAACACTGCACGATTTCTACTGTACTGATTTGAATGTTTTGGTATCAAAGTCATTAATTTTTTATGAGTTTCAACATCATATATCTAGACAAATAATATTATATGAACATAAGTGTATTTTATATATTTATAAAAAAAAATATATTACAGATGCAACTTCAGCCTTAGTTCCAATTAATTTATTTTGGTAATGATTGCTAAAAGTACAGTATTCTTCAAGGTCCAATGAATATCTTAACAAAATTAAATGAAAAAATAATATAGAGCATAATTATTAAAAATTAATTTATGTTAGTTTTACTGTAGAACGATTGAGTCTTCGTTTATAGACCATAGAGAAGTTAAAGGTGTTCGCCAAGATGCTGAAGATAATAATAATTTTTGATTATTACTGCATTCCAAGTTAACAATGTATGAATCATGGGCAGTAAATGATAGTTCCTCTTGAGAAGTGAATAAATTAAATACTTTTACTTCACCATTATAGGTTCCAACAGCAATACGTTCTAGAGACTAAAAGTAAGAAATAATAATATATTTCATCTTTTGATTATATTTTATTGTTACTGTTTCTTTTAAGTATGATTTTATCTTAAGTAAACTTACTAAAAATTCACAGTTAGTAAAATATGCTTCTTCATCGTCATCCATGTGAAACATACGTATTGGACAAAAACGACTATGTATGAGTCTTTGGTCTAGTCTTCTAGAATGTATGTTTTTAGCAAACCGCATAGCGAAATTTGTACATGTTGAGTTCCTTGGTTTAGGATCGGGACATTTATGTGGACTAAATGAAATTGCTGTCAGTGATATACTTTTTTAAATATATAATTTAATTTTAATCACTTACACAAAAAGGTTGAATTGAGGACATGTAACCACAGGATGTTTACATGAAGCATGTTGATTAGTCAAATATTCTGTAACAATAGATTCTAGACTAACAGTCGAACTAACGTTATTATCAGATGATAATGGTATATCTTGGTCAATTTTTTTATGAACTAATTTGGACATTGGTGATTCAAGTACTGGTACAGGTACTAGTTCTAGTTTTGGACGTATTTCAGATCGTCTTTAAAGATTAGATAAAAAAATATATTTGAACAGTGAAATAGTTAGAACATCCATTAGACTCTATATAATAAAATTGAAAATTGATATGATATGATTTATTACCTATTGACGTTTAATCGTATTGGTGATGAATTCGTTCCTCGTATATTGTTAAAACTAGTATTCATAATGCTATTTGATGTACCAGGTATTTCAGATTTTGGGATTTGAGCAGAAAGCAGCCTAGGAATTATTGGGGTTATTCCTCCAATTGACCGATTCTGAAAATTTTTGTTTTTATTATTATTATAAGATAATGAATTTAACCAACTATAAAAAAACTTACACGGCAATGAGCAACATATGGAACTGGCACCGACTTTTTCTCTGCAATATTAAGATTTGCTTCTTGAACTAAACTATCTGCAGTTTTCGACAAACCTTTTGCCATGAAATGTTGATGTATTAAAAGGAGTAATTGTTGCTCATTGAAATTAATTTTTGTTTGTGCAACAATATTGGCCTATAAATATCACAGTTTCATTCAAATATTTTTATTTTAAGATTAATTTAGCAATATAAAATGTTATATCTATATTATATGATAGCAGATGTGTTTTAAATTTTTTATACTTAAGTAGAGTTTTCATTACACCATGTAAGGTGTATTGGAAAATCAGCTTTATCATTTTAATCTATAGTCGANATTTTTAAAATTATAAAAATAATTGCACTATTTAAACAATTTATGATACTTAAAAACATCAAAAGAGCCCAGACATTTTTTTATAGAATCAAAAATGATAGAGTATTTATAGGAGTTTTTTTACTAATTTCCCCTCCTCACAAACCACTATGACTAACAATTTAATGGAATTTAACAGTTCTATAAAACAATTAACACAATTTTTCTTTGTGTATAATACTTATAATTGTCTTTAAAAACTTGTGTTAATCATTTTTGTAGTGTTTGAAAATTGTATTTTAAAATTTAGTTTTACTTTGTTAAAATATACTTTTTTCCTTCAAATATAAATATGCATACTTATTTATATTAATTTCTTTATAAACCTTTTATGACCAGTTAAATAATACTTTTATTTACAAAAATTTTGAATACATTTATTGCTCTAATTTGTTATATATCAGACTTGAATTTATTTTTGATTTAAATTAAATAACATACGCGATTTATATTTGCCAAAGATGCTTCTATTTCTGCTCCATGATGTTTTTTTTTTCCAGATACTAATTCCATTAATTCTAAAGCATATTTTTGAAATGTTACATGCTCCTGGCGTTTATCTTGCAGTACAGGGTTTTTCATTAAACCTATAACACAATTTAATTTTAGTGGCTAGCCATAAGTATAGTCTTTAATTATAATATTTATTAGGTTATAATATTTTAGGAATATCGGTACATTATTAAACACATTTTATAAAGCATATACATATATATAAAGCCTATTTAATTTTTTTTTTTTTTAAATTTGTTTTCCTTTTTTTGTTTATGGAAATTTTAATTAATTAATTAAATTAATAATCACTGCAAAATTTAAATAAAATATACAATTTTTATTTTATTATGCATGTTTTGCTTTTTTTTTTCTTGTATATCTTGCCTTTTTGTGCATACATAATTTACAATTTAAAATGCATGCAGATCCGGTCTTAAGTTATGACTTTCAACCAGAATACTTACTTTGTAATTGGCCATTGTTAAACAAAGGTAACTTGCTTATAATTTGACGTACAGATTCACTACGAGCTAATCCAGCTAATGCACGACTAGCTAATCCTCTAATAGCATCAACATCGGTAATTGGTGTTTTAATTGTCATTAATGTTAATAAAACCTGAGTTAAAAAAATTAAAAAAGATAGTAATTATAAAATATATTATTAGACACATAGATCAAACATGATAACAAATAAAAAGTATCTACACGATTTAAAATAAAATATAGATTGAAAATTATTTAACCAAAACTTACCATAATTCCATTATTATTTCTTATACAATCCCAAACCTTTTCAATAGTTACATCATCGTTTGTTTTATTAGGTCGCTTTTTAGCTGATCCATGTGCTGAATAGTATGCTATACTTCCTCCATCCTATATTATTTTGATAACAAAACTTATAAAAATTTAAAAAATTACAGCATTTTAAAATATGTATAACCAAACTTCGCTGAGAATTGTATTTTATTAGCAATGATTTATTGTACCATTTAGAACAATGTTAGGTTATACATCTTTAAAAAGCCGTAACATCTAAGATTATCATTATAAAGACTTGATATTTAAATTTTTATATATAAAAATAAAAAATTACATTTAATTCAATTATTTCTTGTTGACTACTAAGTACAACTTATATAATAAAATGTCTAAAATCTTAAAAAACTGTCCACACCTATAAAAGGTAAATATAAGATTTTTGTGAAAATTTCAAGTCTCTACAAATATTTTTTAATAAATTACTATTATCAGACATTTTTTCACTTTTACCTAATTATTATGAAAACA